ACGAATATGAGACTCTTTTTGGCGCCGAACCACTGCTACAGCTTCCATCAGGTTCACCACAGTAAAGTTTTTGCCTGCCCAACTTTGAAGGCTCAACTTTGAAGAGGTTTCATCGTAGCAGTTTAATATCCATTTGTGTCCGCACTCAAGACTCTATGCGACACATCTATCGTCTCCGCTTCCCAATCCCATGAAAAGTTCATGAGCAGCTTCCTTATAGAGGTCAAGGGTTGGGAGCGACCAACTTCTTCGCTATACTGATTGCAATGTTGATCGACATGAGGATACTCAAAAAGTCTGGGAATGAATACGACATCGTTTTATTCGCACACTATCTATGCCCCACTGCCGAGCCTATCGTAAAAGCGGACTTATGGACAGGCATGGCTTTAACTGGCTGCTTTCCATGGACTGATTTGTTTTCTTCTACAAGTGCCACACATTGCATAGAGTAGTATGCTAGAGCACGTGCATCTGATTTTCAAAGGCAATCGTCACGCTACGGATAATGAAATGATATGTGAGTGAAACCGGTCTAGTTGCGGCAGATGAATTGGAACTTCCCTTCATCCTTAAGCAATGTTGAGAAAAATCCTGGGAAATATTGACTTCATTTTGATTATCACCCTGCTGTTTTTGGCCTCTGTTCGCCATGCGAAAGTTATCACATAATGCTCGGTTGTCAATGCTTTACGGCTTTGATAGCGATGAAAACAAGACTTTTGCCCGACTGACTTCTTGTGATAACCTCGAAAATATAGAAAATTACGAAATATCCTAGAAAAAAGCTAAGAACCGCAACAACTCAAAAAAGGTCGTAAGAATAAAAAAGCAGGATGAATGGAATCAAATTCGCTCGTGAGACAACCTTCCCGTCCATTCCCGGACAAAAACAAAGTAGAGACTACGGTAAACTCAGGCGCAAAAAAACAATCACCCAAAAGCAACAAACCGTAATTCTATGCTGAAGGAATTACCACAAGTGATACTCTTGTTCGCAACTGATAAAGCTCAAATATGATGGCGGACTCTCCCCTCCAAATAATTCTTTCTGCCTAAGACGACCATTCGATCAAGACAACCCACTCCAAATTCCTCCTTGCAGCCTCATAAGACGAAGGGGCGACCTACCCATATTATTCAATTCGAAAAATATGGTCAACTGTCAAAAAAAGTATTTCGGCGAAAATAAGAAGATATCGGAACAAAAAATCTGTTCGAAGCTTATCGTGAAGAACGGAAGCGCTTATCAGAAACAGAACTAAACTATCAGAAAACAAGAAGCGAGTCGAGTTCAGCTCTGCTCAGCACACGGCTTCTCATGTCATAGAGGGTGTGAAATACGAACCGCACCGTGGGACGGCTTTATTAGCGAGGAAATATTTGCGAGTACAAAAACTTGCACTCTACGTACGTTAATCACGTTCGTGCGTAGCACTGGTGTAACTTTACGGCCAGTTTTTCACCAATACTGGTCATTGCCAATAGATCTATAGCGGACTAACGAGAACTGAGTTTAGTTCGGGTATAACGTGATGCTTAGAAGGAAGTATCATGGCGAACTGAACTTTTCCTGTTGCTCTATTGATAACGGTCCTATGAGGAACCACAAACAAAACTTTTTTAGCAATCAGTGTGAAATAAACTTTTCAAAGTTTCGAATGAGAAGTTGGTGCGGGCGGCATCGAAGGTATGGTCACATTTTGTTCATACCTTTAGCAACCATAATAGCAGAGGTTTCATTCTTGGACGTTCAATGTTGTTTAGTAATCATAAATTTTGACGTTGGAAATGAGCTATGGAAATGTATGCATGATTATTGTGGAAAAAAATCAAGTCCAGTTATCCTCATCCAAAGATCGGAGGGATTTCAATTGTACTAAAAGGAAGAAAGCAAGCATTTTTAGAGGATGAGACGGCCAAAACCGGATTGGCGACAAGGCAGTGATAGTGCTGAAACCGGATGCAAAATCGCTGAAGAGACAGCCATGGCCGAAAACATCCTTCGCTGAACATCACACATTTCATCATCAACACAATCTTTTCTAAAACTGCCAATAACCAGCTGCCAGCCTAGCACCACCTTTCACCGAACGGCCAATGACAACTGATAATTGTTCCAAAACAAAAAATCGTAGATGGAAAGTGTGAGCAAACACGATCAAAGCGCTGCTATCCGCAATCGTGAGAGCGGAAGCTGCGTGAGAACGATAGAAATCTCTCAGAACAGAATTGTGCGAATGTTTATCAACACAGACCAAAGCCCAATCAAGCTAGAACAACGATCGTCCTTCTAGGACCTCGTGATAAGATGACAAAAACACAGGATATAAATTAGCAGACTTGCTAATAATATTATAATATTGAGGCCAATACTTTTCGCATAACTCTGGAAAATTGGAAATTAATCGCGCGCCACAAAGTTGTTTAAAGCGAAAGAGGTGGAGCCCAGTGAAAGGAAGACAAAAGAGGGGTAAAAACTCCAGAAAAGTTGAATGTAACTCAAGGAAAATACGAAATTAAAGAAAACTCGACTAGAAAAGGAGAGCGATAAAAAAGGTCTGACGAGCGAATCAAAGGCAAAATAAAAACCTGTCTCTCTAGAAGCAATGCAAAGCAAAAGAGTTGAAAAATTGGCTAGAAGATGAACTGCTGAACACCTCCAATTTGCAACCTTGATTGATTCTTGCTCTAGAAACCCTCATGATGGGATATTAGTGCCCAAAAAGAAGAGAAACAGGGAGAGCGATGGTTGTCTGTCATCTGATTTCGAACAATAGCCCTTGTTCCAGCCTACGGACATTTCAAAACACTGGAGCCTACCAGCTACTCTCACGTGAAGCACCACCAGCCGCAAGCAACGACGCCATAGAAGCAACTTACCTATAATCTCAACGATTCAGAGGAAGGAAGCAAACGCTTGCCATTGAACGCACCACAAAACAAAGAGACTATTTAAAGAAGTGGCAATAATTGGCATGTGTGCGCAAAAAGAGCCCAAAAAGAATTTTGGATACCCTTTTCATGGGAATACTTCCTCGCTCAGAATTGTGACGGAACGCAAGAAAATTCATAAAGTTTATCATGTAATCACTACTTACACTATACCAAAAAGGCAGAAATGGGAGTACGGCAAATTTTCTTCATTAAAATCATAGAAAGTTCATCCGAATCCTAGAAAATATTCTGCATCACACGGAATACTACGATTCTGAACGAAATCGAAGCGTGCCTAGTTCTCAGAAAAAGATGCTAAATCGATACTGAAAGTCCCCCTTTCATCACATTAGCAATCTATTCTGAAAAAAAAACTTATTCAAGCATCTGCCGGTGGAATGTTGGGTCCCAAAAAACAACTTATGGCTGGCTGTACTTATAGTTCATGTGAAAAGCATTGTGATCACATGCTCAACAGATGACTCTCTAAAACTTGAACGCCGCAACTGAGGGAAATATATTCCTCGGAGGATGCATTAGGGCCGAACCCGGAACATGAGGAAAACGTTAGTAGGATGACATTTCAAAGTCGTTCTATTTTTGATCCGCAAGACTACGATGAGGTGAGAAATATGGAAAGAAATATAGGTATACAGAGAAAGGTCAGAAAAAAAACTTAAAGGGAAATGGGGGGCTCTGAAAGCCTATGCTAATGGTATTTATGAAGGATGGGCTTCGTAGGCTCCCAGAAACTCGAAAACATGAGTTTCCAAAAAAAAAAAAAGAATACGGAGCGAGTACAATCAAATTTTACCGGCTTCCTGAACAAACCAATCGAGAACGACGGTGAATAAGGTATAATTAACCAATAATCGGCTCTCGCTTCAAATGGCAGAAAACATAAGGGAAAAATTCAAAAATCACGAATCAATGCGCTATGAAACACATGGTGCCCAATGGAATTGTCGTGTTTGCGACAGCATTCTCTCTTACGAATCCGAGGTCCTTGCGCTATAAAAATTGGAGCTACTCTGCACGTTAAGCAAGCGGAGGTGTTTTGACGCTGAAGCCTCAAATTAACAGATCTGTGGTAGCCGATATGGTACCACGAAGATGGAAGGCAAAGCAAGCCAAATAGAATGATGTGGTTCTATAAGTGGAGAAATAAGATTCAAAAATCGTCAATAGATATGTGAAGTCATCTGTAAGAGTAGCCCTCTTTTGAATGTTTCAGGCTCTCGCAGAATCATAGAAGAAGAACATTAAGCGGAGCGAAGTTACCTAATCTGGAAGGAGTAATAAACTGACATTGATTTTGCTACTCAATCATAAGATAATCAATATAGAATTGCAAATCGATTTTCTTTTATCACCCGATCACTAGCATGTCCCTGATTCTCAACACTGTTCAGAATTGATTGTGGCACAAGCGCCATATTTGATAAAAGATAATGGACACATTTAAAAGTCCAAAGTGACGCGGGTCAGTGCTCCCAGAATTGGGTAACACCCTAAGCCCGCCCATATAATTGGCCTGAAACGCTCTTGACTAAGGTGGACATATACCGCCATAACTAGCGCCTTTTCGGGCAGATGCTCATCTGAAGGCCGATTTTTACACAGGTGGAAAAAAAGATCCCTTCCTATTCTTTTTAAAACCCAGTCTCAATACAGAAGCTCAGTACAGAGATCGTAAACTTGTGGTGGTCGTATGTGTGTCCACAAGGGTGGAAAAGTGATGAGCCTGAGAGAATTCTCAAGGCGATTTACTCAAAGATAGAGATAGAGAAGCAAAAATAAATACGCAGACAGAGAAATTAAAATGGAATCGCAAAAAAAGTGAAACCTTCGGATTCCCTTCCTCTTATACTGATTCGAGAAGATAATACCGTAATACCCGAAGACCACAAACACGATTCTACAGCAATAGCGTAACGGCAAAAAGACTGGCAATAAGAAAGTATAAGCGAGACTTCAAGGGCAACAAACAAAAATGAGCACAGCACTCTGTCATTTCTAAATGAAAGAAAGATTAAACTGAAAAATTATCAACAGTACGTACCAGTCTGTGTATAATGCATCCAATTGAGCATAATTTCAGGGGCTCGATACCATCTTGTCGCTACGTAGCCAGTCATTTCATGATCAGCCGCTCGAGCTAGGCCGAAGTCAAGAATCTGAATTTTTCATAAATTTCCTGTGATATAGAGACATAGAAACAGTGCGCAAGAATATGATTTATGCATCCAATACGCGCCAAGACTAGTCGACTTCCTGAATAATGAAGAAACATCGAACAGGAAGAAAAATTCATTCAAGTTTTTCTATGAGGCAGCTTTCGCAGCGTCGCGCCAAAACTGTACGTACGCAAAAGAAAAATGGGAAACAAAAATTTATTGTTTCTAAAGAGAAAAATAAGCATCGAATCCGACGCTGACTGTAAACATTTGAAAAAACATGGGTAAATCTAACACAGGAGTTAAAATGCACGTCATCTAGTAAGCTACTACCAGATGATAAGTCGATAATTGTCGTTGGGGTGACTGTCACCACATTAAAAACAGTAAGAGACTATCTGGAACCTTCTACATTGAAACCAATCCTTATTTCCTATAAAAAAAAAGGGTAGTGAACAAAATAATGAAAACGAGATTCGATGAGCCAAGCCACTTAGCGGTCATAAGAACTTACGACTCTTTCGCTTCCATGAACAGCAAGAACTGCCACCTATACTCTTTATTAATCTGGTTTTTCGCCATTTTCTACACAAGTCAACCCAAAATTTCGCCACAGACTACGCAGACATGACACTTGTCGAGCAATACTCCATGGAGATGAGACAATTCAGTCAAAAGACAACCTTGGGTTTCTTGCGCTCAAAAACTGGAGCGACCATGAGAATGTTTTAAAAGGGATTTCCTTATCTTAGCTTTCATCACGAACTCTGCGCCTCTTCGATTTATCATGCACGGCTGGGCGACAATCGATAGAATATCAAAAAAATTAAAGCTTCATGCTGGCGCGACTTTATTGTAAGTCTTGCATTGAATGTTGCATAAAACAAGAGACACACCTTCACTTCACCAATCTCATTGACGGCGATGTTCGACGGTTTCAAATCTCTGTGCACAATTCCGGCAGAGTGAATGTACTGAAAAAATTGAAGGATCTTGAAAGTAATAATTAATCGACTTGTATCGGAAGCACCTTTAATCCTCTCAGAACTTGGTACATCAAAGCTTGGATTTGGTCATTTGTCAAACGCTGAATTTTTAAAATATTCTGCAGATCTGAACCCATCAAGACGGAAACGAAATACCTGAAAATCCCATGCAATAGTTCACCGATAAATAAATTATATTATATAATAAAAATGAGGAAAAATCAACGGACACATTATTCAACGATGCCACATCTGTATCTGGTGTGAAGACATCAATCATTTCCAACACATTTGGGATGCTTGAGTGTACGAAGTAACTTCAATTCCCTGACGGAAAAATTCATCTTTTGCAAAACTTTCAAAAACTTTTAATTACTATTACCTTATTTCAAAAGGTTCAAAAACTGAAATCTCGTACTTAAGAGAGAACTGTAAAACAAACCTATAGGTCCTTTTCGCATGTATAGTGCTTTGGAATGGCCGGAAAAACTTCTTGACAGCTACCCTTTCACCGGTGCGCAAATCTTCAGCAGTGCTGAAGATAAGCTCTTACATACATTATTTTTACACAAATAAGTGGTACGAGGTGGAGAATGTTAGCATGGGATTACAGGGTGGCTAGGAAATGAATGAATCCATTTCAAATGCTTTTAAATGCTAATAAGAGAGCATGGCTGTTCCTCAGTCTAGTGAATCTTTGTATGATATTTCTTTACGATCCAAAAAAAAAGATATTTCGCGATTATGGGAAACGTGCTCACCATACGACTCCATATGCACCTTCTCCAAGAGTGCGCAATCTATCGTATGCTTCTGGAATAACCCATCTGGTTTTGTTTAGTTCCACCTTAAAATGGCGAACTACACAATGAAACCATCTCTGGCAGGTTCAAACATGAAGCATGTTCGGACGCTTGATTCATAATTTCAAACCTCACCTCATGGAATCCTTCTGGTGGAGGCTGCTCAGGAGGTGGTGTCCGAAATTGGCGAAGAAGACACCTGGCTCAGCTGAAGCCATCGGCCTGCGCCTCGGGCAATTCATGAAGACCAAAAGTGCAAGCACAAATCGATCAATTCGGTTCAGAAAACTAAGATGCATCCTCATCACTGGCCGGAGCTCGACAGTTCTCGACATTTCTTCCCCGATCTGCAAAACAGGATTGACTAAAGTAAAAAGCGAAAAAAATTCAAAACACAGAGACTTGCTGTTTTTTTGGGGGGCCTTTTCACCAAAGAGCGGCCACGTAGAGTAAATGTGAAAACCCTGACAACTGCATGATCAATTTTGTCAACCCGAACAACGATGGCAAACGAAACCATGAGCATTTACGGGACGGCGACAGCTGACAGGACACCCGGCTGGTGTGTTCGGCAATTCGCCACGGCAGGGTCAACCGTCCGTTGGACAAAGTCCAACGAGGGGTGGGGGTCGTATTTGGGGTGGAAAAAGGGGGGTCGTATTTCGCGAGGTAGCGTTAATGTTACAGTAAGGGAAGTGATGATGCAGTTGGTTGGCGCGCTAAAATTTTGCCGTTTCACTTTTGTATCCCCCTCTCCCCCACTGCCTACCAGTCTGAAGAAATGTTCTGGTTGAAATAGGGGACATGTGAAGAATGTTTTGCGTTAGGTATACATTTCTCGCCCCCCCTCGATGGTAAATTCGGAGAAAAAGTGGGCGGAGTTTTTGGGCTGTGTCGACTGGTCTCAGAATCGAACACTATAGAATCAGCCCCATGATGGCAAGGACAGGCGAGGGTGGTGAAGGGTTGACCCTGAGGTGGGAGGTCGTATCGAGGTTTCTATAGAAGGGGGAGGGGGTCTCGTAAAATTTTCGAAATCGGCCCAACGTGACCCTGCCACGGCGGCATAGTCGCACGTCCATCAAGCGATAGCAGTCGGGGCGTTCTTTTTATTATCATCAGTCAAAGAGGGCTTTGTTGGGCTCTCCTCAACCTACATGAGGCCGAATAGTGAACGAGAACGCCTTGAGATGTGTCCTTGAAAAGGAGCGGTGAGTCCCACCGATTCTGCCAACATCCTATCCAATCTTTGCACCTGGTCATCTGCGGAGCTCCTCCACCCTTAGCCTAGATAAAGATGTCTAATTTCCCCCATTCTGGACCGCTTCCTAACCACTGCAGGTCGAAAATGCGGTGGCTGCCAGAAGACACCACCCTTACAGCTGGTACACATCAGACGCAATTCACATGATTTAAAAACGAGTCATGAGGCACCGCTTATCCTTATCCTCCGTAGTCAAGACAACGACTCGAGTGCTCACGCTCTCAACTCATTTTCACTTATCTAGCACAAGGAATATGAATGAGAAAAATTGAGCATTTCACTGCAGACATCTGTGTCACCATTTGTTAGTCTAGAAATGGCCCAATACTGGTGAGGGTGGGGTATTGGGGGAGAGGGTTTTGAGAGGCTTGAAGTTTCTCAATCCCAAAGATTTGAATTGGAAGGAATTGGAAGGAAGTCATCGCTGGAGGTGAGTGAGGTTGCATTAAGAAATTTTCCTTGATGCCATGTTTGGCACGATTTGCAACGGTAGCAAGGCTTTTGTCAACCAAAGGGTAAGGTTTAGATGACCGTCCTTGAGTTCTAATACCCTTGAAGCAGACACTTCAGGGGTATTAAGACTGAGGCTTTTAAAGAAATAAAGGAAGCAGATATGCTGCTACTAATGAAGTGTGAGAGCCCCCAGACCAGTGCAAAAAGCTGAATTCCGTTACGGTTGACAGAAGTCGTTGAACATTTGGTTCACCCTTTCGCTTGCACCTGAATTTGACAAATACAACAACTGAACAACGATGCCGCACTATCCTTGAAGTTACAGCGCCTTTGCGCGCCTACCTACACCCTACCGGACTGGCCAAAAATATGAAAGTGCAGATTGCAGTATTAACAACATAAGAACCATGCATAAAAATGTAGTCGGGATTGAGACCCATCGAACAGAATCACTGAGATGATCTACTAAACATTTATGCAAATCTATAATGCAATGAGTCCTACTAAATACGAGTGAGCAAACCTTATGTGAAGTTAATCGTACATGACTAAATATCCATTGAATCGTATCACCATTCGGAAATGTCATACCGTAGTTTTTAACACGCACAACGTGAATTCACATATCAACAAATAAATATCACCAAATAAATCCTAGTACATAAGGAATCTTAACAATAACATGCTACAAAGAATACTTACGCAGAAAGCGACAATCTCAAGAATGCCAGAATTTTTATGAAAAGACAAACACATCACATAGACATATTGAAGGGACATTTCCCATATACCAATAAAGCGTGATTAAAAAGTGAAAATGAATGACAGTGAATGGTTAAACAGACCAGATCCAAATCAGTACTCTGTATACGAGGGAATTTCCGGAGAACACTCGTCACCAACAAAATTCTGGATTTCTTGCCAGATAATCCCTAAAAACAAGAATATTCTACGAATTTGAGTGTCCCGTTAATTCTTTGTTCAAAATTCCACATTATCAGCGGTACATAACCGCTGCTCTATAGCAATTTTCGTCACGGCCTGCACCACAGTAGCTACCGCACACGGATGAGTATCGTTGTTTCGATCGACAACATTAGCGCAAGTAATTAGGATTTTTTAGAAAACTGTTTGCGCTTATTCCGGCGTCAAAAGCTGATGAGAAAACTTTTACAGGGAGAGTGAAATCAAAAATTTTTAAAACTTCCTAGTACCGAATCCAGGGAGACTGATTCTTACACAATTCCACGTTACATGACAGAAATGGATAATGTGGTCATTTGATACCCGTGGGCTGAGAATGGGTGTCTTATCACGATTACCGGAATCAAAGCACAGCTTTTGAAACGATCACATCCTTTTACATAAATAATATCGAAACAACTACCTTTCCACTCATCTCGCGTCCTACTTGGATTATCATTCAAGTCGAACGAGGATGTGGCGGTGGGTTCGTCGGAAGCATCCACATAATCAGCAAAATAAGGATGTGCCAAAGCCTGTTCAACGGTAAGCCTGGAACAATACGATAGCAATCTATTCCCGTTAAATGCATTAATATGCTCTAATAAAAAAGCCAAATCGTATAGAAGTGAACGAACCTCTTTTCAGGATCCAGCACCAAAATTTTGTCAAGAAAATCCACGAACAAACGAGGACATCCAATAAAACGCTTGGCGAAATCTTGACGCTCATGATGTCGATACGATTCGACGACACGCCGCGTAGCCGGACTATTAGCCTCTATCTGGAGGAAAGAGGTGATATATAAAGCTCGTAATGTCAGGGTAGATGTTCGTTGAAAAGCGCCATTATTGCCGGCATAATGCATGCCATTTAAAACGCAGGTTAGCGGTACACAATCGATCAACTCCGAATAGGGGTGAATGAAAAGCAAAATCAACAATGGACGTAAGTTCACGAGGAAAGTACCTTTCTCATTAGATCATCGTCAGGACTGCCGCATAACTCTGTTATCATTTCATATTGTGCATTTGCTGAAATTATGAATTTTCAGGATAGTGATCTTCTGGAGAAACTGTGAAACTATTTAGAGAAATAAAAAGAGATCGTGGCTAAACTCACTATCTTCACCAGGAAATAGCGGTTTCCCTAACATCAATTCAGCCGTTATGCAGCCAACTGACCAGACATCAACTAAACAATGCACATTACAGAAATGCACCTCAATGAATATCCCTTTTGCTTGCTAGTATCCTTACCCAGGCTTGGCAAAATAAAATCCGCTTCATTTTCTTTTGTTTTTCGCGAGCATCCTAGTAGGCTGTAAAGTAAGTACACTGAGAGTGAAGAGATCGCGCAGTTAAAAAACAATAAATCTGAAGGGATCATTTCTCCCCGGCCCTTGAAGCAGCCAAAATTGGTAAGTTAGCAAGGTAAACGAACAAGTTAGATTAACAGACAGTGTTACGCCTACCATCGCTCAGCAGCACGTCATACAGCTGCCAGCCTCCAATTTTTTTTGAAGTTTTCTTAGTCCCGCAACGCTACCAATTAATCACCCTGCAGTGCCGCAGTTGGCGATTATTGAGAAATCAAATGGCGATGACCCCCATGAGGAAGGATCAGGAGTTTTTATTCTGGTTGCTTTGCCAGCATTACGCTATAGAGAGTAGGTTTGGGAAGGGAAACGGATTTTGAGAAACTGCAGAGATGAAGAGGCGCTTTGGAGAAACAGCTCTACGCTCACCAACATGGGCATGCACTTATGGCTCCAAACGCCTCCAGGATGTAAGACACCAGCTTTTTTGAGCAGTTCGGGTCCAAAAATAAAGATACAAAAAACTCAACAAAACTCAAAGAAAATATAGAAACTTCTGTGCTTACCTTGCTCGTTGTAGCCGTCAATATTCCAGTAAATTACTTCAGGGCTACGATACCATCTAGTCATAACATATTGCGTGAGTGAAGTATCAGTTCGTTCCAGGGAACGTGCCATGCCGAAATCCAACACGGTAAGGTCACTATCACATGTCAAGGCCAGATTACCTGGCTTAAGGTCCCTGTGAATTATCTGCAAAAGAAATATGAAATTCAAAAGTAGCCAGGACGGGAAATCATTGGGATGCTCCCAAGAGAAAAAACCCACATTTGCAGAATGTATGTATTTCAAAACCCTCAGAAGTTGATAAATAATGAAAGGAACGTGTTCAGGAGTGATATGGACTCTTCCAGTTACTTTTTGATCGTGTAGAATTTTTACAATACTATCGCCAGCGTATCCTGTGACAACATATCTGAAAATAGAAGTGTTAATATCACAAATAGAAAACTAGGACATGCTATGAAGCTGTCAAGCCG